CATGTGAATAATAATAATAATATGATGGATGGATGGATGGATGGATGGATGGATGGATGGATGGATGGATGGATGGATGGATGGATGGATGGAAAAATTCTTCTCCATAAAATCTCTACCTAATTAATTTGACTAACAAGAATGAAACACTGACATTTAGTGTTCAAAATTGGAGAATATTGTTTCAACTTTGCTGAGTTCTAGCGGTGAGCTAATGTCCCTTGATTTAGATGAGGAAGTGATGGCAATGACAGAGAGGAAGGTGCTTCCTGTGCAAACAGAAAGGCAAAGCGTAACAAGACACTCAAGAAGTTTGCCAGCAGGAAATGATTTGCAAGGCGGAAAAATCATTAGCTTATTATTTAAATTATTGTATAAACATCAATTATAAAGGAAAATAATGAGTCTGATGCCACTTTCTCTGAGGCTTCTTTGAAAGAGTAATTTGTTAAGCTGCGTAAACCATTACAGGTTTGAGGGGATCATTTTACAGCAACTTAAAGCTGCTTTAGTTCATGCAAAGGAAGTCTTTGGTACCTTGATTCAAAGATGTTTCCTGATTTGTTATAATTCTAACCAAAAGGTAGATTTTAAGTTACAAAAGGGAACAATCAAAGAATTATAAAACAACGATGGAGTAGGACAAAAAACGAGGACAGACTTCTTTTAAACTGGAGAAATAACTTTAGACTAGTGGCTCTCAATCCATGCCCTGTGTTTTTTAGGTGTCTTTTTGATGCCATGGAGCTGACTTGAACTAATGAGTCTTTAACTGACTTCTGCAGCACATGATGGCTGTTGAAGATGTCATGAAATAATTTCAATCAGATGTGCTGCAACAGAGAGACATGGAAAAAATGCTGGGCATTGATCCCTGAGGATCAGGATTGAGAACCAATGCCCTAAACTTACACCATTGTGATGGAAGACATGCCTTCCCTGCCTTCTCTGAGCTATATGTATTAAGAGTTGAAAGTCTTCCTGAGGAGGGGTGCGGTGCCACACTAGTGAAAGGTTTTGAGGAAACAGCTTCTGTGTTGTGGTTTATATTTCCTGCTTCCTATAGAAACCTTAGGTTTTGTAAACTACATAGCAAAATCAAGGGTTGCAAAAGAAAATATGGTCAGAAAGGACACCTGCCTAATATGTGGAGCATTTAGATGCCATAGCAGCTCAATGTTGGACTGTTCATACCCAAGAAAATAACATTACATTCTCTGTGATAACAGAGGACCTCATTGTTGTCAGGCAAGAATTAGAGAACTCTATAAAATTGTTGATATGTTTTATGTTTTGCATTGCCATAAATTAGGATCATAGAGGGGGGAGGACCCAATCTGCCCAATATTATGGAGAGACACACTATATTGATAACAAACATCACAATGAGGATAGAGATTTTCAGTTACTCAGATTGTGAGATTTGTTTCTGCATTGATTGTGGGTTGAGTTTGGATCGTAATTCTGACCTGGTGTGGTTCTGCCAAACATGCAGCATCTGGTAAAGCCTGAAATGGAGAATACAGCCATCTTATGGTTTGAATCATTTCATGCTCCTAAAGAGATGCCAGACTTTGTAGATACTGGACCAGAATTGTGCCCATACTTTCTGAAATTCTCCATTTAATAATTGCAATATCATTACATGACATTTGAACAACGATAGTTTGCTAAGAGTACATGGAGTGCAACACCACAGAGGCATTGAGCTGTGCCCCAATGGACACAGTTCAGATGGTGGTGTAAAGAACACGCTTTAGGTCGGTACAGTCTGACAGCTGTTAACAGATGTTTAGCTTTTGCTACAGAGAACTTGAAGAACAAGTTTGATGCCTGGAACAGAGTCCTTATAATTCTTGAAAGTTTGTGATTTTGAAAAAAACTATTTCAAACCCCTTACAAGGTTAACATTTCACAAAGCTGACCACATCTGTCAACATGTAATTGCATTTTGTTTGCTCTGCACTGCATTCTTATGTTTCTTATTAAGTACTATTAAGTACTATAACAGCAAATGCATCAGTGTGTGCCACCTTCTCATGGGAGAACTGGTGGACTCCCAGTTATAGTTATGGAGTCGACATGCAATGCATGTCACTTTCTTCTGATGTCTTTGCATGCATAGCCAAAGAAAGCTATGCCCAGTGGTTGATCAGAAAAATTAACATAGTGACATGTAAAGAGCCTGCTGTAAATCTATCAAAGTGAAGAGGATGGGCTATGCTTCACTGCACATGATGGGATTTCATAACAAAAAATGCAAGTTCTGAAGTTGAAAGCAAGCAGATTATTTCTTAATCTTACTCAATCTAAAATTTGCATATTAGTCACTAACATAATGAATGAGGTCAGAATGTGTGATAGTAGCTGCTAAGTTGTTGGCATTTGTAAGCTACTTATGTCGTCTCAGACATTATGGGTCAGTCAATCGGTTATTGCTTGATATTAGATATTCCAATCTGATGTTAAGCAAAAAACAAATTTTATCAGGTTGCACCTATTATCAGACGGATTATATCAGACTGCACCTAAAATCTTTCTAGATATTAGAATGCTGATAAAAACACAATGCCTACGTCTAACGTTTATGTAACCCATGGATTAATCAAAAAATGGGTCAGTTGTTCTCATACCTATTTGTGTTGACTATTTCACTCTATTTGAGTAATATTACTATATTAAACCTAACACCAAACTCTAAACTAAGCATTAGAAGAATGACTCGTGTAAAAGTGAGGAAAGCCTGAGTTCCTTTAAATCAAGAATAAAAACACATTTGTTTAGGATTGCCTTCGACTGTTCTAGTTAAACAGTTCAACTAAAACATCATTAGTTCAACTTTTTTATTTTCTTTAGTCCAACTGTTTTTAATTTTTTTTTTGTTTCTGCATGTTTTATTTTATTTTATTTATTTTTTTATTTTCACCTACTTGCTTTGATTCTGTTTTATCTTCCTGTATTTTAATCATGTAAAGCACTTTGCATTGTCTTTGTACTGAATTGTGCGATACAAATAAATTTGCCTTGCCTTGCCTCATGCTGATATAGTATCAATATCAGTATCGATCAGTTCTCAAAGGTGCAATATCGGTAATGTGTTGTTACTGTGCTCTGTTGGCACATCCCTAATGGGATCAATAGATTTTATCAAATATATCAGAATGATGCATTACAACGACTAAAAGATGCTCCACTGTCACTTTAAGCAGTCGTTCACTATCTTCCAATTTGATATTGATTTCACATCAGCTTCTGCAAATAGTGTAAGCTTTAACTAATATAGTTAAGAGTAGATTAAGCTGATTAAATTTGTTTGATTCAACAGATATCTCATATATAACAGCTCCTGTAAAACCTTTGTTGTGGCCACCAGTAAAGCCTTGTCTTGAAGTGGAGATACATGGCGTTTGAAGCGTTATTTGCAAAGCTGGTGCTCCAAACTGAGGTATGGTTTTGGCAACATTTTCCATGAGAAATGCAACAGCTGTTTGTCAATTATATACTATTTGTTTTTTTTATATATTTTTTTTTTGCAGTGACTGGAACTTGTGTATTTTAAAAATGGAGATATCAAGAGCAGGAAGTTTTTTGACCTGCTCAGGCACACTTTGGTCACTTAGGTCCACCATCTGTTCATTAACATGGAAATATGCATGTCTGCAAAATTGGTTAGATATCGAACAAAGATTTTGAATAAATATATCACCTAAGAGCTAAAAAGGATTAGTATGTCAAAATACCTGATCCAACCAATTTGACAGGAATGGGTCCCTAAAACACCCTTATTACACAGGCAGAACTAAGGCTGGGGTACATGGCCGAAAACTAATATCTTCACATTTTTAAGCTGAGAGGGAATAAGCGATGTAAATTAAAAGGTTTTTTTTCTATTTATGAAGACATAAGAAGCACCCTGAGTTAAAACTTAGGAGAAAGTATTGTAGAAAGATGGGAAAAAAATAAAAATGTACTCGTTACCTGTCACTCTCCATCTGTGGGACATAGTTTGTGTTTCTAAATTTGCAGCCTCATGCTGCCACAATAAGGTTTCTGTCTGCTATTACAATGGTTTTATATAGCAGGCAAGACCCTCCCATGGGTTAAAGAACAGTAGCTGATTGAAATTATGCTTTTGCAGGTTTTTCAGACTTGCTTTTGTTGATTTTGGTGCGGCCAGTTAACAGGTTAAACATGTGTGGTGAAAGATAGGTGATGTCTAAACAGACTTTATTTATCAAGAAACCAAAGGGATTAAAACATTTGTGTTGACCAAGAGAAGTGCACAATCACAGAAAATGTCTTAAAGCTGCTTTGGTAAACCAATATTTTTCTCAAAAAGTTTTATTGTGATGTTATATTTTAATGGTAAATTAATTACTTTTTAAGTGCTTTAAGTTTGTCTCTTCACAGAGCAATTTAACTGACATTAAAATTAGAAACGGTTCATTACTTCCTAAGTAAGCAGACCAAACATAATAATCAACAGCGTTTAAATATTTGCTTTCGACCATACTCGACAATACTTGTGAGAAAACTAAATTCATGGAGTCGCCTCGGTGATGAGTGCTTCCCTATTTATCAAAATATTACAAACATGCTGTAGGGACTGGATGCTAACTATTTATTTGTTTATATGTTGAGCTGAGTTGATGAGGATTTTGATTCCGTTCATAGGAACAAAATGCTGCAGAGATTTGCATCAAGAAATTATTTCCAATGGATTTTGAATCAGTTTAGTTTGAACAGCAAAGCTACTGTTATCTGGAAGCATGATCCAAATAATTGGCAGTAATTAATAGATGGTGTAATTCAATTCCTGGTTGTCTGTAATCCTTCCGTCATAACAGGACAAACTGAGAGATTCTGTTCTTGTAAATCTATTTCCCTCAGAGTGAAAGCTTCTTGACTTGCATTAGGTTTTCAAAGATAACAGCTGTGTTGGAACACAGAGGTCTTTGCTCTCCCAGTCAAACTTCCCACTGGGTTAGAGACAGACATTTCTACTTATGCTTTTAGTCAGTTAATAGATATTATTTTCGTTCTTTTGGACTTGCACACAGGGTATTGTTGGTCTTGGTGTCCAGTATGTTTATCAGGTGATAATACAATGAAATTTGTTAAAGTAAGCTACAGCGGTATGACACAAAATTCCCAGAGGACTTTGGTATCATGGTGCTCCCATGATAGCAGTGTTTCCAGTAGAGTAAAATTGACCTAAAATGGCATTACAGAGTACAGCAGAGAGACTCCAGAGTTTCACAAAGAGGGGCTCACACACCTGTAAGGAAAAGGTTTGGTTCGCTAATTCAGGACATGATATTTGCTTAAATATTGATACTGCTCTTATTCAGATTCTCTACCTTGATGTCTTAAATATCCTAAAATTAATCTGAAGGTCCAGTTAAAAAAGGCCCAGATGGAAGGGGCATACAGCGAAGCGTTCCGTTTCTTTACAACATAATGTTAAGCTCAGAGGGGGAGCATGACCGCTGGCAGGTTGATTGGAGTAGAAAAAAGCAAAAAAAAAATTGAAGTCTGCTTGCCTTAAATGAATACTGTTTTGCGGCTCATCTCCTGTGAAACCAACTATCAGTTTTAGTCTGTGAGGAAGACACCCAGTCTACTTTTAAGGGTAGGCTTAAACTTTCCTTTTTGATAAAGCTTATAGTTAGAGAGGCTCACACTGAGCCTGGTGCTGCTGAAGGTTTCTTCCTGTTAAAAGAAATGTTTTCTCTCCACTGTCACTACAGGCATTCTTAGTGTGAGGGATTGCCTTCGAGTCAATGCAATCAACTGGTTTTCCTTAGATAGAAAACTTTGAATCAATTTCATTGTATGATCTGGTGAACTGTAAAGTGCCTTGAGATGACTTTTGTTGTGAATTGGCGCTATATAAATAAACTTCATTGAAAGGCAAACAAAAAGAAAACAAATACATGTGGTGTTTCTAAGGCATTGGTTTTAAGAAAAGCAGCCAGGCAAAGCCTCAAACAGTTTAAGCAGAAAATGGCTAAAAGAGGCTAAATGCCTAGCAGTGTTATTCAGAAAGAAAACAGGAATCTGAACAAACTGGAATCTGAACCACAAAACAGGAAATGTATTTTGACCACCAAAAGCTGTGAATGGTGGGAACTGCTGCAAGGCACCGATGAAATAAAGAGGTTTTATTGTACCATTTTGTTATGCCTCCTTTTACTAAAGCAAGGGAACCGTTCTGCATCATGTCATCTGCTTGGCTTCTTTGTGACGATGGTCTCCACTAGAGCACAACAAGGACAGATGTATTTTATATATATATATATATATATATATATATATATATATATATATATATATATATATATATATATATATATATACACACATTTTATAAAATACTAAAAAAAAATGCATACATCTGTGTCACTGTGAAAGGTTTTAAACAATAGAACGCTTGTCTATATTGACCAACACACAACTATTGGAAAAGTCGAGAAGCTCACCTCTACCTTAACCCTCATTTAACGCAGGGCAGGTTTTACAACCACAAGCATTAAACAGACACTCCACGCCTTGCTTGTTTTCGGGCACTGCACCAAAGTAACTGTAAGGTTATGGATATTTTTTGTTTTGTTGGGATGATGACATTTCTACAGTGATCCAGATTTTTAAACAAGCATTTTAGAAACAACAAATAAACACATTAAAGAGCAATAGCCATGTTACTAATAAAGCTGTGGTGACATCTTAAAGCATGATTTTGTAATGTTTTCCATCACAGAGAATCAGTATTATTCTTTCAACATTAGTTGCTGTTCCAGTTTGATTTTGTTAAATGCCATGGTTAAAGAAGTGGGTACTTTAATTCAAGTTCAACATCATATATGTTTATTAGGGATTCTAATTCTGAAGTAAAAAACAAGAAGAAGTTCTTAACTTGTGTGATTAAGAAAGTTGGCCAATAGCAGGCCTTTATATCAGCAATGTTCCCACTGTCACATATGAATTGATTTATTTTTTTGTATATTTGATGGTCTAGAAACTAAAGTTTAGCCTGGGCTAAAAAAAACATCACCAAACAGGTATTTCTTAAACATTGCTCCTGAACCAGGTTTGATAAGGCGGTTCAACCCAGACACTGCATGTTTGTGATCTTACATAGAAAACCAAATGAAAGAAAAAAAATATGAGTAATAAAATACCTAACTACTGTTGTGCCTTGCATTTTTCATTTGATTTCTATTGTTAATTTCTATTTTTGTTTGTTCATTTACATAAACTAGTCACTTTTGAGGGCTAAATTTGTTCAGTTTTTAAATTTAGTCACCGTTAAAGAAAAAATCACTCTACAACCAAACCGTGATTACCATCACTCCTCTGTTTATCTTTCTTCCTTTCAAATTTAGATAAGGCGTATGCATTATAGCTAAATGCCACCATCTGAGCAAATGAAAAATGGTAAACAGAGAGAGCTTGTTAACAAGTTTTAGACAGAATCCAACAGGCACCATTTTACTGCATTTGAAGATTACTGCTGCAAACTAAATGTGAAAACTAAATAAATTATCTGGATTGTTTTCTAAATCTTATCTCTCTTTTAATATAAGAGATATCCCCGGGGGGAGATGCCTATGTAAAGAATTATTTTGTAGTATAAGGCACCAAAGATTATCCAAAGGGCAAGTTTCCTTCTAAATCCAACCCTGAATAGGATCACTGGATAAACGCTGTAATTACCCAGGGAAATACTTTCATAAAAATCCAGAGTCTCAGCAGTGACCAAGAATAGTTCATTAAATGTAGCTGTCATTTGTTACAAAAGTTTTAAAATTCTAACTGGGAAGGCAAAAATGTAAAATTAGCAAAGGTTAAGCAACACTACATAGCAGACAGAGAATAGTAATAAAACAGTTATAATGAAAACTAATCCTCTGCTTTTTTAAAGGAATGTAAACAGGTTGCAGGCAGCTGATTGTGTCATATGATTTGATAACCTGTCCTTTCTATAGGCGTAGATCCAAATGAATAATGACAGCAGAGGGGATCACAGCAACGCAATGAGAATCTCTACATCCACTAAGCAGATGTTCACCACTGCACAGGAACAGGGTCCCTAAAACTAACATCCCTACGGGTTTCTCTTCTCACAGGTGAGGACAAATTCACCGCACCACGCCTCCGCACACACGCATCTCCCGCAGACTTTCGGAGGCTTCTTCGCGCACTTAAATTCACTGTAGAAATGTTGTTCATCAGGATTAGGAAAACAACAAGATGCATTTAAAAGGACTTACCGTTGCTTCACTAGATAGTCAGAGAGTTAAGAGTCGCTCCAAATGAAAAGAAAAATGTTTTTGTTTAAGAGGTGGGCTGGTGCTCAGGGCGACATGCAGCTGAGTCCAGGAAATAAATAAGAAAATCAAGACAAAAAAAATGGGGTCTGATCTGTGTTTCCGCCTTCCTGCTGAGAAGTTGCTCTCCTGCCTCAGTGAATGACTTAAGGAAGATGAGAATAGCTCCTTTCCTCTGCCTTTGTCTCTCACACTCCCCTCCCTCACTAAACATGTTCTGGAGGATTGTGGCTGTTTCCTCTCAAGGGGCGGGTAACCTACAACCATTGTTAAGGTGATGGTAGACCCCCCATAATGTGCACCAGCTGATTTACCCTGCTACTGCTTTGACATTTAAGTGTATTTTAAAAAAAAAAGAAGATTAAACAAACCCACCTATACTATTAATGTAATTCCAAAAGTAAAACTCCACAGCATATAGTCCTAAGTCTTAGACCTAAGCCTTAATACTGACTCTTGACCAACAGACAGACATTCAGACCCTCCTCCAGGAGATTGAGCAACAAATATGTCATGACTATTCACAGACTGCTATGTCAAAGCTTTTTGTTGGAAAGTTTATTGGAAGGAAAAAGTCTGGTTAGAAAATGTTCCCAAAACTGGAATAAATACAACATTGAAAGGATTGATGCAAAACTCCTTCAAGGGTTTGAAGATTGCCAAGGAATAGACAGACACATGACTTTCAGAGTCCATGTGCCGCAATACGCCAGAGGATGACTGGAGTTCTGGATGAATTCTGGATGCTCGAGTTGGAAAAACTGTTTCCAAAGTCACTATGGACTTCACCAGGAACTCTTTAATCACTTTGTTCATTCCTCTACCAAAAAGGTTCATGAAGACTTTTATACTTTTTTTTTTAACAGTAATGAACATCTTCTCTATCTATTACATTTATCAATACCCAGTTTGATGGCTATGGTATCACTGTACTTAGTTGACCAAAATTACTGGCTTGCCCTAAACCCATTAAAAATTTACATTCTCTGTAGTTTTAAGAGGGGGGAAGATGGGAAACAGAATTAAACAATGCAGACAAGCTGAGGGTCTCAATCAAAGGAACCCGGACTTCTTGAAAACCGATTACCTCTATAAGCCCCTGTACTAATATTGTAATCTGTCATCCTGACCCCATAGTGAAAACATACCCCAGTCATGGACATACTTTTTTTTTAACAGTCCATTTTAAAGATTAGCAGAAATGTGAGAAATGTATTCATCTATTTTCTTTAACCAATAACTGAGTAGGAAAAAACTTTTGGAGGATATTCTACAGAGATGCTGTTACTAAATTCAATGCGCTTATCAGTACTTCAAATTTCAGATTAGGTACTGCATTTACTAATTTTATGCTATAGTAATGGCTAAAAACTATATTCACTCAAGTTTATTTATGGGTACCTACTGAACAGGTCACCAGTCTATCACAGGCGGTGGTGGAAAAGCACATTTATTTGATTGCTATGCTAAAGTACTTTTTTTAAGTGTCTTTAATATGTTTTTTGGAGGGGGGGGGGGGATTATAATGTTCATTCTACTACATTTCAAAGTCAAATATTGTACTTTCTTCTCCACTACATTTTAAGGAAGCTGCTAATTATTTCTTCCTTTTAAGGCTCAGCTTAGATTTGCAATCTGCTGTTGCTGTTTTTCTCTCTTGAATGCAGTTTCACCTTGCAAGGAGCAGTGAGTACTTGAGTAGATTTTTGACCAAGCAACTTTTACTTGTAGTGAAGCAAGATTTGACTATGAGTATCAATACTTTTATTCAAATACTACTGCTGAGTACTTCATCCACCACTGAGTGATCACAGGGCAAGTATGTATAAGCATGCCCTCACACCTAAGGAAACCAGAGAAACTAGCCTCAGTTATGTTTTTGGACTGTGGGAAGAAGCCAAAGTACCCAGAGAGAACCCACTCATGCATCAGAATCATTTTTACACAAATTAATAGTTTAATTCAAAAGATAAATAATTTTAGACTTTGCTGTTCATGTTGCAAATTTTTCCGGTACTTTATAGTTTTACTCAATGTCATCAAGCTGAGAACCTCTAATTAGTTCTTCCTGATCTGAGAACAGGTACAACAGAATTCAAAGAAGACAAATAAAACACAGTTTAATGTACTTTTACTACAGGAAAAAACAAAAAACAGAACATTTTCTTACAGCTGATAATCATGATAATGTGCTCTGTAGCTTAGTGGCTTTTACACTGGAGGAATGACTCGTAAATCAGATGTTTTTCAGGTCTTACCTACAAAAACGACTCGTTCAGTAATGCAGGTATGTAATTTCATTCAGAAAAATAAAAGGCTGCAAAAACACAAAAGGCAACTGCTGTAAGAGCATCACTTAAGCTTTTTACCCTCTGTGAAATGCCCATCAGGGCTGCATCACAGGGAGGTGGAATGTGCTTTCTAGCTTCTGCCAGCTGTCTGGTCCCATCTCAGCAGGCCGGGGCTTCAGTGTTCATCAATCACTCCACATTGGCACATGCTGGACCTTGTAAAAAGTAGTCCAGGATCACTAAGGCGTGATCAAAACACATTCTGCTTCAAGGAGACTCCAAATCTCACAGATTCCTGTCAAGAGCAGTAAAACACAGGGAGGCTGGCGGTCGCATTAAAACGTGCTATAAACTTTAGACTGATAATCAACACCACATTGACACATATCGCCTCGTGAAAAGAAGCCAATTCCTTAGAACACTACTAAATAACTTGTTTAATCTTGTATGTGAAGCAGAAACGGTCATTGTTGAAGGTTCTTGTGCCGTCCTTAAATCTCTGAATGTCTAAAGCAGATGAACAGTGCAGCGATGAGGCCTGGCAAGCGCTGCAGCTTCCACATCCGAGGCAAATATAGTGCTACTGACACCACTGGCAGATCCAGACTGAAAAAGTGTCTCATCCCCCGTTTGGGAGACAGATGAGTGAATCCCAACTCTGGTTCCAAACAACGTTTGGAAAAAACGTTGACACAGGCCTGGGGGGAAAGGCAAGTACAACATGGCAACTTCTCAGTAGCAGAGGCCTTGGCTTAATTCTTAAGGCAAGAACATTGGTGTGGCATAACAAAAACAGCTTATCTCAGTGCAGCTACTTGCTGTGTGTGCAATAACTTTATAGATAGGTTAGAAAGTAAGGATTTTATGGAAACTAGGCAAATAAATACAAATAATTAAAAAAACATTGGTATGTGAGGCACAAGCAGCACACAGCAGTAACAAATCTATTAGAGTTGATACAAGGCATTTACACATCAATAGTGTGGATTAGTTATACTAAAAAAGAACACTGATCACGGTCATAAAGTTAGAGGGTGGATCACATTTAGCCAAATAAATGCAGAAAAAAAAAGAAATTTGACATGTTGGAGGTTCAACCACGAGCTGGGATCAGATCAGATTCATGTCTGCATGCTCAATATGCAGTCACGTCAGTCTGAAAACTTAACCAACATTTAAAAATAAACAATTCTGTTTTCAAAAGACTTTACAAAGTTGGGGCTTTACAGCAAGAAAAACTAGTGCCTTTAAAACAACCAGTATTCAAACTGATGCTTTTATACAAAACAAAACATGTTAGTAATTATAAGTGGTGCTTGGATGTCTTTCCTTTTTCTGCTTCCAGCATTTATGCAAAGTTAGGCTGTAGTCGTACCAGCTTCACATTATAGCTGTGTGGAAAATTCCTTCAGTTATTAGGAAAGTACAAAACATATGCATCCAAATGTAAAACGAGTAACTAAAGGCCCTCTGCTGAATTCTCAAGACTAGAACCATGATTTTTCACACAATAAAACACAATCTGCTGATTCCTTCTGTTTAGATTTAGGTTCTAGAGAAATGGCATGTGCTCCATGTGCAAGATAAATATAGTGGAACTGCAATGTAAAAATATTAAACAACTGTTAAGCATTTGTGTCTTTATAAACATTAAAGGAATATTAGTGTTAGTGTGGCTTAAACTGTGTGATAGAGTGAGAGAACCTAACATGCTTTGTGCTTAAGAAGTGTTGCTTTATGATAGTTTTAACAGGCAGAAAATAAGTCGTTGATGCCCATTCGACAACTTGCTGGATTATTAGCTTCAAACACTGTTGCAGAGCAGATCTTCTTCCGCTTTGCATTAAACCTACACAGGCACTTTATTAAAAAAGAGGCATCTGGATCCCACCATAATGTTCGGAAGACTTGCAAAACTCCTTTTGGGAGTCAAATCTTTCTGATGTGTTTTTAAACAATGGACTAAACATAAATATTCTGTGGTAAACACAAGACATTTTCACAATATATGATTGATTTAATTTGGGTTGAAGCAACTTCCCTGTCAACAACCTGGAAACTAGCAAAACGTAGAACCAAAAAGAAGGCACAGAGACTTGCTTTCTTTTTATACAGTCCTGTAGAGATAAACTTATCCAGAGGATTTTCCTGAAGATCAGCTCATAATAAGCTGCGTTGGCTTCTATCACTTCCTTTAATGGCTTACTAGTATTGCAGTTAACTTATGACTGAGCCTGCTGTTAACGGCATAAAAAAGTGAGCACAGATGTGTAAAGTGAGGAGGAGGTATGGTTGTTGGGAGCTCAGGAAGGTCAATGAACCTCTGACTGCTGCAGGTGCATGCTGGTTGAGTTGGTAAAGTCGGAGGTCAAGTCTCAAAGTATTTGTAGATGGCTGTGACGTACGTCATGACACTTTGCCAATCGGGTCGCTCTGTGTGAACCATCTCATTAATGTCCTGGAAAAGAGAAGGAGATGGGTTAAACAACAGCAGGAACATGATGGCGACAGATGGAAAGTCTGCTTGTTAAAAACTAGCATAAAAACAAATGAGAGATTTTTTTTTTGCACTTTGTGGTAAAAACCATGTCCTTCCTGCAGGTAAGGTTACCAAGCAACAAAGTCACTTCACCAGTTTCCGGGCAACAGATGTGTTTAACGATGGAGTCTTTATCTTTAGGCTCTGTTATAAGAAATATTTGTTCAAATTCAAAACAAGACAGTTTAAAAAAAAAACATGTAAACTCTTGAATTTACACACAGGCAAAGAAATGAAATAAAAACAGTCAGATAACAGTTTATAATTACGTAAGAACACAAGAGTATTGCTTTGCAGTATCGGATCACAGCCAATACAAGGTAACAATAACATGATATCTTAGAGGGGACAGGGTATTATTTCTTACCCAAAATAATATTATGTTTAGGAAGATTATTATGCAACACAAAAATAAAGCCTCAGCATATTTTTATATATATATAGATCTATATATAGATCTATATATATTTGCTGTAAACTGCTGCAAGTTACTTGGGGTACGTCTGTATCAGTTTTGAACATTGAATGACTGAAAGTTTTGCCCATTTTCCCACAACAGCTTGGGCTCAGTGAGGTTGGATGAAGATCGTTTTTGAACAGCAGTTTCCATTTCTTTCGGTATGGACTTTGACTTTGCCAATATAACACCTGGATATGTTTATTTGTGAACCATAACAGTGTAGATTTTGCTTTATGTTTTGGATCATTGTCTTGTTGGAAGATAAACATCCAGAATGGTCCTGTATTTGGCCCCATCCATCTTCCCGGTCTCTGCTGAAGCAAAGCAAAAAAGCTGTGGCTTTGGTTTCATATCACCAGAGCACATTCTTCGGCATGTTTGGTGTCTCCCAGGTGGCAAACTTTAAACAAGACCTTTTATGCATATCCCTAAAAAATGGCTTTCTTCCTTAAAGGCCTAATTTTTGCAGTATATGACTGATTGTTGTCCTGTGGACAAAGTGTTTTTCCTCATCTCTGCAGCTCATCCAGAGTGATCATGAGTCTCTTGGCTGCATCTCCGATCAGTCGTATTGTTGTGAGCTGAAAGTTTGGAGGGACAGCTGGGTCTTTGTAGATTCACAGTGGTCTGATACTCTGATTTAAACTTCTCTACACCATATCTTGCACCTGCTTGGAGTGGATGCTCTCTGAACTTTAAACAGACCTCTGAGATTGTCACAAAGCGATGCATTTTCACAGAGACTTGATTACACAGAGGAAGAATCCATTCTATTCATCATCTATCATTTAAGTAAACATTTGATCATTCAGAGATCCTAAATTAACTTCTGCAGTGAAAGTAAAAGGGCAGATTAATTTTGCATGCCACACTCTTCAGTTTTATTAGTTAAAGTTTAAAATATCCAATTAATTCCATTCGACTTCATGACTGCATCCCACGTTATTGATTCTTCACAAAAAATGACAATTTTATGTCTTTATGTTTGATGCAAAGGTTGGCGAAAGCGGGTGAATACTTTCGCAAGCCACTTGCAAAAGTTCAAGGGCGACAGTGGCATCGGGTGCATGAGTTTTCCCTGCAATTAGAGGGTTGTCAGTTTGAGCCCCGGCTCTGGCTTTCAGTGTCGTCGTGTCCTTGGGCAAGACACATCACCTGCATTGATGGTGGTCAGAGGGCCGAGTGGCACCAATGTTCTGCCGGCTACAATGTAGTTTGCCACCATCAGTGTGAGTTTATGCATGAATGGGGGAATTTAGTGTAAAGCGCAATACAAGTACAGGCCATTTACCATACATAGAATTACAACAAACATAAATTCAGGGAAAAGCATGTCAACAGAGCTTACCAATGTGCATTTAATGCCGACACTCTCTGCAGCTTGGAAAGCTAAGGTGAAGTTTCTCCTCTGAGAATAAAAGTTAATATTTTAGTTCACAAATAGAAAATGATAATAGAAAATGTACAAACAAGTGGAAATCTGCTTGCCTTGTCCTGGCTTGTGAGCTCGTGGTAAGGGATGTGTGCAGGCAGATAGGTGTGCAGCAAAGCGCAGAAGGCTAAGCCATCATTCCAGCTGCTGCTGAAGTTGGTGATATCGATATTCTACAGCGATTGACAGACAAACTTTGATTAGACTGACTGATGGAAAAAGTTTTTCTTTACAACATAGGTGCCACAGTGCAGCTTTTTCTTATTACTTTTAATTAAATATTCCCATGATGACTTCTGCTGCCATAGATATTTATAAAATTATATATTGACAGAAAACAGAAACTTGGACTGGTAACAGAGATCCATGGATCAATAGAATTCACTCTATCAATTATTGTCCTGGTATTTAAAACGGAAAAATAATAGACCTCCAGCAATCACTGACATTTCATATACCGGTAATACCATGTGCTATTCTCTGCAAATCAAACCTATCATCTTGTATGTGGTAACCAAGTGTTTTTGTCAGGTTACTAAAGAGATGTGCTTAATGTTACACACTTCCTGGAAAGAACTGAGGAACCCATGGTAACCACAACCTTTGTACCTTCAACATTGAAGAAAAAGGCCTTTGTGACACCTCCCAAGACATCCTGACATCATTCTCACACTATAATGGAACATTTTTAATGTTCAGTCCTCCAACTCAAGCTTATTCTGCTTATTCTTATGCCTATCTCACGCAGTCTATGGGCGAGAGGCGTGGCACGCCATGCATGGGTCGCCATTCTGTTGCAGGGCAACACAGAAACACAAACACACATATAACCATGCACATACACACACATTTAAGGACAATTTAGAGCCGCCAATTAACCTTAGAGACTTAGACAACCTTTATTGTCATTCTTTATACACAGAGTGTATAAAAAACTAATTTTAATTTAGTTCAGCTTTCCAGGCAGTAGGTGAACATTTCTATTCCAAGTGCAGCAGTGATAAAATGGAAACAGTGTGGGAGGAACAAAAAGAAAAAAGACATGGTGCAAAGAAACGCATTGATATGAAAGTTCAGAGCATTAATATATATGGTGCAAATATGCAGTGTTTTTCGTTTTGGTGTTATCAGTGTGATGCAGAGTCTGTGATATAATTTAGAGTTTTTTCAACAGTTCAGCAGTTTGATGGCGGTGGGGAAGAACTTTTGCAGAATCTGATGGACCTGCATCTAATGCGGCAAAGCCTGTTCCAGAGGGCAGCAGAGAGAAGTCCATGGTGGGGTGTGAGGGGTCCTTGAAGATGTTACTGGCTCTGGACACACAGCGCTGGGATGAAATGTCTTATATGGAGGGAGGAGGAGCCCGATGATCCTCTCTGCTGTTCTCACCACTCTTCTCACTTTCTTCCAGTCTGAGGCGCTGCAGCCTCCGCACCACACAGTGAGACACCTGGTCAGAATGAGCTTTATGGTGCTTCTGTAGAAGCTGGTGAGGAAGGATGGGGGGAGGTGGACTCTCCTCATCCTCCGCAGGAGGTACTATCGCCACTGTGCCCTTTTGATCAGTGAGGTGGTGTTCATAGTAAAGTTGAGGTTGTCTGTGATTTGCACCCCCAGGAATCTGGTGCTGCTGACCACCTCTACATCTAAGCTGCTAATGACCAGTGGAGCGTGGTTAGGCCGGTTCTTCCTGCAGTCAGCGATGATCTCCTTCGTCCTCTCCACGTTCAGGATCAGGCAGTTATCTCTGCACCAGCTGCTCCACCTCCTCTCTGTAGTCCAGGTCTTTGTCATCTCTAATGAGGCCCACAACTGTGGTCTCGTCTGCAAACTTCACGATGTGATTGGTGGTGAACTTGGGGACGCAGTCGTGTGTCAACAGAGTTAACAGTAGTTAACAGGACGCAGCCCTGAGGGGAGCCTGTGCAGCTCTAGCAGCCGATTGCAGAGGGGTGTATGGAAGCCCAGCTGTTCCAGTTTTCCTATCAGATGCTGAAGTCTGCATACACAGAGATAGCCTGGTATAGAGTCTTCATTGCCTCTTTTGTATTAGCACTGGGAGGCACATATACAGCAGTAATGCTAACCACATTGAATTCTCTGGGCAGATAGAATGGTCTGCAGTTAACAGTCCTGAGCTATCTCTATAGTTATCCTGCTATAGGCTTAGATTACTGGAGGACATAGGGACCCCTATTTCTTCATTCTATCTCTATTCTCCCACTCTGCAGAATCTGTTAGTTCAATCTCTAATGTTATGCTCTCTCTGTTTTTTTCCTCATAGTAACTTTTCCTCGTCTCTTCCTGTTTGGCTGTGACTTCATCCTGGAGAGAAATATCAGCTGTGCTGCTGCCATCAACACCTTTGTTTATAGATGTTTGAGATCTGTCCGTTTTTCCTGTGTAGTCCTGTTTCTCTGACTGTGACTCGCTGGATGTGCTCTCTTCATCCTCTGACATGGGAGTTGGCACGGAGCTCGTCTGCCTGGCTGTTTGTTTCCTGGACTGGGCCACCTTTTACAGTTGCTTTTTGTATCTCTGCTTCTGTCTCCTTGAAACCCAGTCGGCCACACCGAGTCTGGTTCTACTCGAGGTTTCTTTCTGTTAAAAGGGAGTTTTTCCTCTCCACTGTTGCTACAAGCATGCTTAGTGTGAGGGATTGCATTCGAGTCAATGAGTCAATGCAATCAACTGGTTTGAGATTACATTTGTTGTGAATTGGTGCTATATAAATAAACTGAATTGAACAGTCAGAAACTCAATGTCTTGAGAGCAGAATCTGGCGACCCATCTACTCATGTTTTTAACCTACCACTCATGTTTTTGAACCTTTAGGACCAGTTAGGGCTCCATGGAGGAGGACCCATCCAAAGCATCCCATGCATGCTTGGGGATAATATGTAAACTGCGTAGAGAAAGACCCCAGGCTGGAATTAAACCCAGAATCTACTAAGCCCCATGTGTAATGTTATACTTGCTGTGGATTTGGACTGATACCAATTACCTGGATGTAGAAAACTCCAAGAAAAAAAATACACCCCTAACAAAAAGGACAAGACACAATCAGCTGTCTTCCAGCAATATTGGTTACAATAGTTGCCATTCAAAATTTCCTCACTTTCCTTGATGGGCCCTTGGCTGGTCCCCCACAATTCCCTTTTAAACATCAATATGTGTACTAAAATATTCTCTCATGATTTGTGGACATTAGGATCTATAGAGAAGCGTTATCTCCTGGTCAGACCCTGTAATTCAGTGAAAGGGTGAAGTCAGAGTTAAAAAATATGCACGCCCAGGAGAAGGCCAGTGGCTGGAGGTTGGAGGGGATTTTGCTGGTTGCTGCAGGGAAGTGGGCTGCCATCTGGCTGGCGTTTGATTAGGAAGGGCCATTTTGAAAGGCTGCTACTGTATATTGTTATACAAAAACCTGTAAGAAGTTTGAGTATTGCACTGCCATTTTGTTGCTAGTCAGTTTAGTTGGAACATCTATAAAGATAACATCCAGGAGAACTTAAATCTACATATGAGGTGTGATTTTCAGTTTCACTTCTTCTTTGAAGTTACAAATGGTGACTACATAATGCAAACAAGCTTACAAATGCAACCTCTGTTGATTTTGTACTAATCACTAGGTATAGCTGCCTAGTTCCAGAAAGGATTACGAGACTACCGACTACAGGTGCAGTAACTTATCTTCTTTTAGGCTTTAAGCATATTGTTTCATTCCTGCTTTTATCCTGTGATGGCAGCAATCATTTCTTGGGGTCTAGTATGTTGGAGCAGTAGCTGATCTATAGCTGAGAGGAAGCAGATAAGCTCATCAGCAAAGCCAACTATGTGCTTGGATGCCCCCTCCATCTGGTGCAGGTGACAGGAGGCATTAGGACTCCAGCTAGCTCCATGTCTTACCCCCCTTACATGATTTACCAAACACTAATTTAGCTCAGATCAAGTTCAGGCTTGTTACCTGATAACCTTCAGTCTTTTTTTGGCACCACTTCAGCAAAGCATTTCTCTTGGATCCCCCATATTCCCTGGCCAGCGCTGACAATGGATCCTTTCTCTCCTCCCTGTTAGAGAGACATAGAAGAGACAAATAAGCGGGAAAAAGATTCCCTGAGCCAGAATGAGTGCTACCGCAGGTCATTCATTCCGGATGCCATCAGACTTTAATATGCGGCACTATAACTGGAATAACTTGTGCAATAATTAATGTGTAATTACTATTTAATACCCTGTGTAATAACCTGTTTTATACTTTATATTTAATACCCAGTGCAATAAATATATATATAAATACCCATTTACTGTATATAAACACCCATTTAGAACCCTGTGCAATAACCCTGTATAATAATCCTGTTAAATAAGAGACTTCAGCTGTTATATATATATATATATATATATATATCTCAATAAAGTCAATCCATCACAAACATCCTATGTGAAGGTCCACAGTAGTTCTATGAGCCAAGAGCATCTCTATTCAGAAGTGTGTGAGATTATTTGAATGCATAAATTCTGATTCATCAGGTAGTTTCAAACATTGAGCCCTAGTTACCACGATGTCAAGTAGCCCCTTTGAACACATCCTATGTTTACTCCTAGCACATGACATGATGCCGTAAGCTGTGGTACCTGAGGCGGCTGCGAGCTGTGGGTGTGATAGAAGCTGTGGGGGAGGAAGAGGACAGGGAGAGTGGGGAGGAAGCAGCACTCATGGCCATAAGGGAAGTGGAGGAGGCCCCATCTGAAGCCGTTATGTCCCTCTTGATTTCCTCGCTGCTCCTGCGCGACACTACAATAAAAGATTAGAGGCTCAGTTTTAAAAACTGACTTATGGTAAAAGATAAATAAATCAACTAACATCACTAACCTGAAACAGCCTTGGTGGAGTCCATGTTGGAGACCCTCTGAAGGACAGGAGGTGTGCGGCTGGTTGGGGCCCCTCTGAGGAGGTGGTCAGCTGTCGGCACATAACATTGACACCAAAAGATTTTATGACGAACTTCTGCTGGAAGTGGATGTCGGGGGGGAGTCACTGTGAGTTCATGGAATGCCGACTAGCTCACCAAGAAAACAATAAATCATTGAAGAAGTAAACAAACATCACAAACTATGGTCAAGATTGCACGTTCACACAAAACACTTGAGCCCATTAGAGTTGAGAATCAACAGAGGGAAGCAAACTTCCTATCACCATCCTATCATCCACTATACTGCTAAACACAAACCATAATCTCAAGAGAAAAGCAGTACTGTTTATATCAGATGAGAGTAAATGATCAATCCCAGCTTATTTCCAGGATGACATATCATCATGGCCAAAGCATTAACTGTGTTTTAATCACTGCCATGAACACAGGTTTATAAAATCAAGCAGACAGGCATGCCCACTGTTCCTGCAAACATTTGTGAAAGAATGGGTTGCTCAGGAGCTCAGTGAATCCAAGAGTGGTACCGTTATAGGATGCCATGTAGTAGAAGGCGATGGAAACGAACGGTTCAGTGGTTGCTGATGCAAAAAGTGTTGTCAACTTTCAGCAATTCTTTCAGAACTCCAAACATCATGTAAACTTTAGATTAGCTCCAGAACAGAGCCATACATCACCAAGAGCAATAGTATACAGCACACTCCCACTGGAAATGCAGCTGAGGTGCGTTCTGTGGACTCTCCTATCTAGCAATGTGATGGATGAGTCTGGTTTGCTTGTTGCCTGGAGAACAGTAGTTGCCCGTAGACTGTACCTCGCAGACCTTAACGTTGGGTGGTGGGGATTATGGTGTGGGCTTGTTTTCCAGGAGCTGGTCCTTTCCGTTTTGTCCCATTGAACTGAATGCTTCAGCACATCAAGAGACAGTCTGGACAACCCCACGGGGCCAATTTTGTGAAAACCTCTTCCAATATCTTTTTAAGCTCAGAGGTTTAGTGCTACAGAAAGCAAGGTCCTGAATGATGAAGATGTGAGGGTTTGGTATGATTAACTTGATTTGCCACCAACATCCTCACCTAAACCAAAACACCTTTGATATAAATCAGAGCAAACACTGGGAGTCAGGCCTTCATCCTCAAACACAAATGCTATTCAGAAAAAGGGTTTAAAAAATTCCATAAACTCTTAAACCTTGCAAGAGTTTCAGATGAGTTTAACCTGTTATAGCTGCAACCTGATGAACGCTACATTGACCTTTTTGAATTAAGAACAGGATGTCATTTAAGTCCACCTGCAATTCAAGGCTGGTGAGAAAATCCTTCATTAGGCTTTGCCACCATTTAAGAATGATTAGGATCTGGACTTATACTGGAGCATTTAAATACAGAAATGATTATACTATTTAGCTCCAGTAGTTACCCTGCAATCACCACATCATAATGCTGTCACCACTTTGTTTTATTATAGTGAAGCTATAAGCCTTAAAAAAGCTTATAGCTGTATTAATTACATTTCCTAATAGCTAAAATGCAGAATATTGCCTGATGTTATAGGGGTATCAAATGCACATGGAGCTTATTTACCTGGCATGGTTATGTCTGTGTAGCTAGGTCTCTTATCACTCAAGGATGAAAGGGGTTTGGTCCCGGAGATAGACCCAGCTATAGAGTGCCTCTGAAAAAACAAACAACAAAAACACTTTAAAACAATTTTACCAGGGAAAGCAAAGCTTTCTAAAAATTTAGATTGTTGCTTTAGAAAAACAATGCAGACTTTAGTTTTCTTATTTTGGTACAAACATAAACACAAGTTAACAGCAATAATTAAAAGTCCTAGCATTATAACATTTACAGCATTGACTGTAAGCTACAACATCTTAGAAGAATCTGACTTAGTCCTTTTTTTTATATATTTCTATTCTTAAAGCAAATAACAAAATATATTAGTGGTGGGCATATATAATAATTTATTTAATCTAAAATAATCTCACTGTAATGTTGGAATTAATCTAGATTAAAATCGCTCATTTGAATTCTGCCAAAGGCCTTCAGGATATTTGTGTGCTACCTCCAGAATTAAAAAGAAAATGTTTACTTTTCTATGTTTGTAAAATCACAGGTAATTTCATCTTCTTACTTAAGATTGTGACAAAGTTATAAATACTTTTTTTGCTCATTTGTTACTGTGTTTTTGCAGCACAAAATAGTGTCCCACTTTGAGCGGCTTTCTCCGCGTGCTGCTGGTCATCTATTTTTCTTATGACAGTTCGCCTCGCAGGTAGTTTGTAAGATAGGTCACCTGTTGCCGCCTGGAGAAGAAGCTCGGGCTGGCAGCTTGTGGCTATACACTGAACAAGGAAATTGGTTAGCTTGGCTGATAGAGCTGTGCTTATAGCTGCACGTCACATTAGTTGTGGTAATTTCACGGTACACCTACACAGGTTGGAAGACTGATTTGTTCTCGCTCCCAGATATACATCCGTGCTAAATATCAAGGTGAAAATGATCATTAACACAGACCCAGCTCCCAAACAAACTGTGAGAGTACATTAATGTCAATATTTTTTAAATAAAATGCCGATAACGGCCCACCACTACAAATTATCTTTAAAATTTTTCGATGGAAGTTCTTTGAAACACAGAGGAAACATCACTGCTCCCAACTCGAGGTCAGGTTTTATATATATATATATATATATATATATATATATATATATATATATA